CTTGAGGTAGGTGCGGATGCGCTTGCGCGCCCGCTCCTGGAACTCAGGGAACTGCCGGCTGCAGGACTCGATGATGGCCTGGATCTTCTCCTTGGGCTGCTTAGAGATGGGAACCATCCGGTCCAGGTTCTCGTCCACAAAAAGGCGCACAAACATCTGCAAAGGAGAAGACAGACAGTGGGAACACCAAGATGGGAGGTAGGTGGATTTGCCCTCCCTGCAGAGCCCTCCCCTTACATTGAAGGCCTTTAGCCTCTCCGGGTCCATTCCCTCCGAGTCATTTATCTTATCGTTGTCTTCATGGTCATCATGGTCATCGTCATCTTCATCGGCCGTGGGGGCCCTGCCGACGGTCAAGTCCTCGGGGCAGCCGCTGACCTCTGTCTTGATGGAGTCATAGCTACCGGAGCTGTATGGAGGGGACTGAGAGGAGATGGGGGTTACTGTGAGCAGCCCTCACCTGCCCACTCCCGCCTGCTCCTGCCCACGATCACAAGGAAAAAGCCCTTTCTCCTTGTCTCACTGCTTCTGCCCCCCCTTCCTGATGTCCCCCTGCAACCTGGGGAGACAAACCCATGGATGCGCTCCCCCAAGCACTAGCTCCTGCCTGCTCAGGATAGGGGGGAACACAGTGGTCTCAGGGACCCCACAAGGGCCTGAAGTGCAGGCAACGCGGCTCTGGCTGGTGGGGGCTGTGGCTCTGCCTGACCCTGTGGGAAGCGCTGCCCAGACCCAGTGGGAACGGGCTTCTCCTTGCGCAGCAGCAGCAGCAGCACAGCTGGTCAGGGGTGAGACGAGCCCACTGTAGAGCCCACCTCTAGGGCAGGTGGGGTGTGGGGGATGCCCCCGGCTCTCCCAAACCTTCTCTCCCTCTCTCCCTCCCTCTGCCAACCACTCGCTTGGCACTCAGGCTCAGTTCTGCTGAGCAGCAGCAGCCCCGAGGCTGGAGCATGGCCAGGCACAGCTGCTCCGCCACAGCGGTGGCAGGCGAGCGTGGTGCTCGTCCGTCCTTCCCTCCCTACAAGGGAAAGGCTCCCAGCCCTGCCACCCCCCCCGCGTTTTCCTGGCCTGGGAGCAGGGG